CCTCGTGATCCGCCCGCCTCGGCCTCCCAAAGTGCTGGGATTACAGGCGTGAGCCACCGCGCCCGGCAATTTTTGTATTTTTAATAGAGATGGAGTTTCACCATGTTGGCCAGGATGGTCTCAATCTTTTGACCTAATGATCTGCCTGCCTCAGCCTCTCAAAGTGCTGGGATTACAGGCATGAGCCACGGTGCCAGGCCAGAATCTTATATTTTTGAGTGTGAATGTTAAATGGTGGAAAAACAATAGAATTATCTCTGTAGATTCAAACTCTGCAATGATCTTTTTTGTCCATATTCATATTACAATCTTGAGGAATTTCTCTTACAATTTTTTGTTTTAGTGGATGCATTTCATGAGCTACAGTTTTCATTTTTAGTCACCTTACTTTATCCAAGTCCTTGGTCACTTTCTCTGCAAAATGTTTGAAGATTATGGCAGCTATTGAATTCAAATATTTTCTCAGTGATTTTTTTTTTTAATTATTTTTTTTTTTTGGAAATGGAGTCTTGCTCTGACACCCAGCTGGAGTGCAGTGGTATGATCTCAGCTCATTGCAACCTCCACCTCCCGGGTTCAAGTGATTCATTCTCCTGCCTCAGCCTCCCGAGTAGCTGGGATGCAGGTGCCCAATACCACGCCCAGCTAATTTTTGTATTTTTAGTAGAGATAGGGTTTCACCAAGTTGGCCAGGCTAGTCTCAAACTCCTGACCTCGTGATCAACCCACGTCAGCCTCCCAAAGTGCTGGGATTAGTGGCGTGAGCCACCATGCTAAGCCTCTCAGTGATTTTTGATGAAAATTCATTTACTGTGTTCACAGAGTGGCCAATTATGGGACCTTTAGCATCACTCGCCCTTTTAGTGTCTGTCTTATATATGATTTCCATCAGCACTAGAAACTCCAGGTACTTCAAGCATAAAAGTAAAAGCCCTAGAGTGCATTGTCTTGTATTATATATGGTTCTCCCTTTTAATGTTGAATTGTAGTTCCTTGTGTATACCACATTTTTGGAAAAATACATTCATTTATTGGTTGAAAAACTCATGTAATGAGAAGATATTTCTGTATTAAAGAATGTATTGTAATTCAGTATATACATGTTTTATTAATAGTTGATTTCTACTAAATGCTAACCATTATACTGTATATGTTTTAATAAATTTTATTTTTGGTCTGGCGCAGTGGCTCACACCTGTAATCCCAGCACTTTGGGAGCCCAAGGCAGGTGGATCATGAGGTCAGGAGTTCAAGACCAGCCTGGCCAACATGGTAAAACCCTGTCTGTACTAAAAATACAAAAATTAGCCAGGTGTGATGTTGGGAGCCTGTAATCCCAGCTACTCAAGAGGCTGAGGCAGTAGAATTGCTTGAACCTGGGAGGTGGAGATTGCAGTGAGCTGAGATCACACCATTGCACTCCAGCCTGGGTGACAAAAGCAAAACTCCATCTCAAAAAAAAATAATAATTTTCACAGATGATTAATAGCATAGGTATTATTATTATCCTCATTTTACAGAAAAAGAAACAGAGCCATAGAGAAAAATGACTTGCTCACAACACAGGCAACTTTGACTCTAGAGATAATACTTATTACAGTAAAATCCCTCTTCAAACAGAAACATGATTATCTTCAACACATTCTTAATAAAAATTTAACAAAAATTGTTAAATGTTTCTTGTCATATTTGTATGTGCAAAATGTATAAAATGTACAGAAAAGAGA